TTTAGTAGAAATACAATTCCTTTTTTGTGAGGAAAAAGAAAAAGAAATATAGTTCTTGTGATATTACAATGCAGTCTGAATGACTGAAACATCAAACACAGTTAGCCAAAGCAGTAGGAAAAAAATACGCCATACTCTTTTATTGGTATATATCCTTCAAGGAATCCTTCTTTGTAATTCTTTATAGGGAAACAATCTCAAGGTCTGAACACTGCATTCCATATCGTGATGACGAGGATCAAATCCACTCAAAAAGTGTTGCTACTTGCTAGTTACTGAAAAGGAGCTGGGAAACATGCTTGTGTCGATGGAATGCAAAAAATAATTTTTTTTAAATTTCTACCTCTTTGCCGAGGGCAATGACCAAAGCCCTCGGCAAAGAAGGGTCCTTTACCGAGGGCCGTCTCATTGCCCTCGGCAAAGATTCATTAGAAAAATTCTTTTTTTAAAAAAATAAAATTTCTTTGCCGAGGGCCTGCGGGGAAGCCCTCGGTAAAGATTTTTTTTTAAAAAAAAGAATAATTCTTTGCCGAGGGCCGTCCCATTGCCCTCGGCAAAGATTTTTTAGAAAAATTCTGCAACATTTCTTTACCGAGGGCTATGGTTGGAGGCCCTCGACAAAGATTTTTCAAAAAAAAAGAATAATTCTTTGTCGAGGGCCCCCGGAGACAACCCTCGGCAAAGACTCCGTCCCAGGCGCCGACGCCGTGACGGCTGCTTTTCTTTGCCGAGTGCCGCTCCAGCCCTCGGCAAAGGCTTTGCCGAGTGCCCAATAAAGGGCCCTCGGCAAAGACCCTCTTCGCCGACTCAAAATTCCCCGAGAGCTCTTTGCCGAGGACCGCCCTCAGCAAAGCCTTTGCCGAAGGTTAATGGGCCTTTGCCGAGGACCTCAGGCCCTCGGCAAAGAGGCAGTCTCCGGTAGTGAACATCACCTTGATGACCACCGATAGGAACACATTACATCATTGCTGCCGCTGGACTTATGAGGATTTTGCTATGGTACACCAAAATAATTGTGGTATGTCGATCTAAATGTGGATATAATCACATATTACCCCTTAAGAGGTAATAAGATAAATATATTTTTTATCTTGATAAATAGGAAAGTAAGCAGGTAAATTGTTTATCAATTAGATTTAACGTGCATGCATGCAAACATGTAACCGCATGAATTTGTATGGATGGTTCCCGACATGACTTGTAACATTTTTTAATCAGAATTAGTCTATGAGGAGTGGTAACTTGCCTCAACGTTAATCGTATCAAGACATTATTAGCTGTAATTTTTCTACAACGTGACAAACGTAGATGTGTATTTTAGTTATTTATTTATATTGGGACTTGAACACGTTGATAACGGGAATATATTGTGTTGGTATTTAAATTGTTTATATTTATTTTCATTATCCCAACATGATGTAACACGTTGATAATGGGAACATATTGTGTTGGTATTTAAATTGTTTATCCCAACATGATGTACCTGTACGTGCCAGGTCCGGCATGGTGCTAGGCACGGCACCCCTTGCCTTGCGCACAGTGCATGCTATTGATCGGTTTCTAGCAGATATTTTATACATTTGTTTAGTTTTTTGCCTTTTATTTTTTTAAAACATTTTAATTAAATAAATTAATAATAATTACTTTATTATTGTATACATATCAAAAATCAAGGGAAAAGATTTGTTTGAGATCTTACCTATGGGGGTACCTTAGGAAGTCCCGACCTATGATGCCTTCGGAATCAGAAGGGAAAAAATTAGATAATTAGAATCCAGATGACTAAACTCCTTAAATTTAGATTAGTATGTATACATGAAGAAATTTGCTTGAGCTACTTATAAGAAGTATGAAGTGATACATTAATATGCAATGTGTCCTTCGACATACTAACCTGAAAGAGAGTATGAACCACCAAATATTGGAGGTTAAACAGAATCACAAAATGGTAATAATACATATACATATCTAGACTTGAAGCTTATGCATCAGCAGAATGATAGATAATAGATTAATCTAGGTTACTTATGGAGTAAGCAAGAATATAATGACCTGCTGTACACGTACAACTTGCACCCTCATAGATTGACGCCATCGACATCGATCTGTGATAATAGAACCATATATTAAGTATATGATACGTACATAAATAATCTACGACCTGCTAGGTTAGCTCATTTATGTCACTTATGTGCACATGTGTGCCATGGGAAACTCAGCGCAGGCAGTACAATTTGGCATCGTCTAACGCCTTGTACGTAGCAGATCGAGCCTGGTCCACATGGCGGCCTTGGGCCTGGACTCGAAACTCGATCACACCCAAGCTTCCAGACGTACCATGGTCGTCCTCAGCGGCGTTTGCGGGAGCACAGGTCCCGGCGGCCGGGCGTTGGGCGCCACGAGGCGTGCGCGCGGCGCTGGAGCGAGATGGCCAGACGGGAGAATTTGGTAGAGGAAGAGGAGAAAGACGTGAGGGTTTAGGATAGGAGAATAGGCTTATGACGTGGGTTTGTGTAGACGTACGTGAGATTGAATCTTAACCCTTGTTTAGTTTCCAAACAAAAACTTTTTCTAAAAAGTGCTACAGTATCTATCACATCGAATATTGCGATACGTGCATAGAGCATTAAATTTAGACGAAAAAAACTAATTGCACAGTTTGGTTGTAAATTGCGAGACGAACGTTTTGAGCCTAATTAGTCCATGATTGAACACTAATTGCCAAATAAAAACGAAAGTGCTACAGTAGCCCAAATTCCTAAATTTCGCGAACTAAACACGCACTAGGCGTGGGATTGTAGACATACCTGAATCGATCGGTCAGGAGAAGGTTAGGAGAAATCTTACATCTTACGTGTAAGATCTTGGTTGATGGAGGACTCATATAGCACGGTATCTAGATCGAACGGTTATTATAGAGGGAGAGCCCTTCTAAAAAAACTCGCTCTTTTATAGTGTGATGACGATGATGAAATGAGATAAGATGAGATGATATTGGTAATATAAAGCCCAACGACCTACATTCTGGGACTTTCTCTGCAGCCCATGGGCCGTATTAGTAATAGATGATATAAGAGTGCAAAATTAGTAATAGATGATTCATCATAGTGACAGTGACATATGAACAGCTAACAGGAGCTAGGCAGACACATGCCCATTTATCTTTATGAGAAAAAATACCTAATTGGGAAAAAATTGGTTCTCTAGCATTGCACAGACAAATCGGACCTAACTGCCTTGTACAACTGCAACATGAATAAAATCAAGATCAAAATCCATTTTCTTCAACTTGCTATCGAGTCTTGGCTATTTCCTTCGTGAGCACATTCTCCCTTAGTGGTTACTTTCTCGATGCTGGTAGAAGAAAAGGCAATGGCTTCATAAACAAATATCTCCTCCGCAAAGAAATTAGAATGCTTTTAACAACTGAGCAAGTTTGAGATGTTCTTTCTCTTCTGCGATCTTTCCCTTCGATTCTTTCACGTTCCTGACTGGAATTGGTTCTTCAGTGAAGTGACAAGAGAAGAAATTCTCACATCAATCCAACGCCATTGTGACAAGAGGAGGCAGACTGGCAATTCCATTGCAGGTGCAGCCCCAAGGATCTGATCAAGTTCCTTTACTGCGCCCCAGTCCTCCAAGCCTATGTAAAGAAAAGTAGAGGATTGCATCTCTGGTCTGCTGGATGCATCGGAGCTGGCGGGCTGCGCGAGGAGGGAAAAGCAAGCCGGGTTTGATTGGTTCGTTCACATTGCTCCAGTTATTGGTGGGCCATATTCTTGGGCTCGGACATTTGGGCCCAAAATACTTACTGAAACACTCCGCTTACCTTTTCCGTGTATGCACATTTTGGCAGTTACCAGTTGACGTGACGACGGCTTCTCTCAGTTCCACAAATTAAAAATTCTAATTTATCCATTTCAAATTATAAGTCGCTTTAATTTTTCTAGACATAGCAAAATTAATATATAAAAAAATAAAATGACTTATAATGTCGAATGGAGAGGAGAGAGACCGTACATCATTCAACTAGGACCAGGCTCGTTCTTCGAGCATGTACGTTCGTGGATGTATCATGTACTGCCAAGCATTTATAAAAACTAAAAAGGAAGAGTTGCAATCAATTGTGCCAAATGGACGGAGCAGTGTCAAAACTGTAGGAGCTTGTGGAGTTTGGATTGAGATCGGAACAAGAGTAATGCAATTTGGTTTGGGCAGACCAAAAAAAATAGTGAATGTTTGGTTCGGATCAAGAGCAATGCGATGTTTGTTGATACCACATATATTGCCGGAATCTTGACGAATACTGAATTGTCTGCAAGCCCCGACCCAAAATACCTGCGCTTGTGTCGAGCCTGATCATCCGAAGATCAAGCGGGAACTGGAAGCCGATTGACAAATCTGGCGGATTTGTGAATAGTCGAGGCACACGCAAACAAAATCGTTTGCCTATTATTACTGATGCTCAGGAATGGAAGAGGCATGAGATGATGAGAATGCCAGAACGTGCAAAGTAACATAAACAAACAGTATATATAAACAGTATGTGTGTGTGTATAAACAGTATGTATATGTATATATATATCGATTCCTGAACTCGCAGAGACGGTTACAATAGCATTACGGATGTTCACACAGATTATTTTACTCTATCTACTAAGCCTAATACTCCATAGGTTTCACCCTACAGAACCTACTACCACTTGACAGTGAAAACAGAAAGAACACCCTGCAGGTGTTAACCGCAGATTATTACCGCACACAAACAGATTAAGACGCCTTAACGTAGCACACTCTGGACCTGCACGAAGAAGTATCCCATCCAGGTCATCACCTCCTTTCATGACTCGCTTAGTCGACTTCCTCAATCTTGGGCCCGGCGCCGCTGCCACCTCCGCTGCCGGCGCCGCCGCTGGGCACGTCCTCGTCCATGCCCGCCGCGCCCGCGCCGCCCTGGTACATCTTCGAGATGATGGGGTTGCAGACGTTCTCCAGCTCCTTCATCTTGTCCTCGAACTCTCGGCCTCGGCGAGCTGGTTGCCGTCGAGCCACTTGATGGCGTCCTCGACGGTGTCCTCGATCATCTTCTTGTCCTCGGCGGGCAGCTTCGACGCGATCTTCTCGTCCCGCACCGTGTTGCGCATGTTGTACGCGTAGTTCTCCAGCGCGTTGCGGGCCTCCACCTTGCGCTTCACCTCCTCGTCCTCGGACTTGTACTTCTCCGCCTCCTGCACCAAGCGCTCGATCTCTTCCTTGCTCAGCCGGCCCTTGTCGTTGGTGATGGTGATCTTGTTCTTCTTCCCCGTCGTCTTGTCCTCCGCCGACACGTTCAGGATGCCGTTCGCGTCGATGTCGAAGGTCACGTTGATCTGGGGCACGCCCCTCGGTGCCGGCGGGATGCCCGTCAGCTCGAACTTGCCCAGCAGGTTGTTGTCCTTGGTCCTCGTCCGCTCACCCTCGTACACCTGGATGAGCACGCCGGGCTGGTTGTCGGAGTAGGTGGAGAACACCTGCTCCTTCTTGGTAGGAATGGTGGTGTTCCTCGGGATCAGCACGGTCATGACACCGCCTGCGGTCTCCAGCCCGAGCGAGAGCGGCGTGACGTCGAGCAGGAGCAGGTCCTGCACCTTCTGGTTGCCCTCGCCGCTGAGGATGGCGGCCTGGACAGCGGCACCGTACGCGACGGCCTCGTCAGGGTTGATGCTCTTGCAGAGCTCCTTGCCGTTGAAGAAATCCTGGAGCAGCTGCTGCACCTTGGGGATACGGGTGGAGCCTCCGACGAGCACGACGTCGTGGATCAGCGACTTGTCCATCTTGGCGTCGCGGAGGCACTTCTCCACGGGCTCCATGCACTTCCTGAAGAGGTCCATGTTGAGCTCCTCGAACCTGGCCCGCGTGATGGTCGCGTAGAAGTCGATGCCCTCGTAGAGCGAGTCGATCTCAATGGTGGTCTGGGCGGTGGAGGAGAGCGTCCTCTTCGCCCTCTCACACGCGGTCCTCAGACGCCGGAGCGCCCTCGGGTTGCCGCTGATGTCCTTCTTGTGCTTCCTCTTGAACTCCTGCACGAAGTGGTTCACCAGGCGGTTGTCGAAGTCCTCGCCTCCCAGGTGGGTGTCACCGGCCGTGGCCTTGACCTCGAAGATGCCCTCCTCGATGGTGAGGATGGACACATCGAAGGTGCCGCCGCCGAGGTCGAAGATGAGCACGTTCTTCTCGCCGCTGCTGGCGGCCTTCTTGTCGAGCCCGTAGGCGATGGCGGCGGCCGTGGGCTCGTTGATGATGCGCATGACGTTGAGGCCGGCGATGACACCGGCGTCCTTGGTGGCCTGGCGCTGCGAGTCGTTGAAGTAGGCCGGCACGGTGATGACGGCGTTCTTGATAGTGGTGCTGAGGTAGGCCTCGGCGATCTCCTTCATCTTGGTGAGCACCATGGAGGAGATCTCCTCGGCCGAGAACTTCTTCTCCTCGCCCTTGTAGGTCACCACGATCATTGGCTTGTCGGCGGGGCCCGGGACGACCTTGAACGGCCACATCTTCATGTCCGCCTGCACGGACGGGTCCGAGAAGCGCCGGCCGATGAGTCGCTTGGCATCTGCATGGCAGAAACAGAGTTACAGAGCGGTTAGGGAATGCTGTCGATGGATCATCGTGGATGGGATTTCTGTGCAGATAATTCATGGAGTATAGTAGTAGAATAGGAGTTGCTATATCTCAATTGCCTGAAAATTCAGACAATAATAATTTTACACCACTTCAGACAATAATCTTACACCATTAACAGATATAATTAAAAAGAAAATTAACTAAAGATGATTCATGTTTTTTCTATAGCTATAAACGATTATAAAATAACCCTTTGAATGAACAATAACAAAAACTCATGACATCTGGCATATAGGAAACATATACTCAAAAAAGAGTACTAGTAATATTTTACAACTCAAAATTACTATAAATAATTTTTTATAGCTAAACGATGATGAATTACCTGTTGAATGAACAACGATAAAAAAAACAATCTTACATAATGAACGAATAATATGATTAAAGGACAACCCACTAGACACAGATAAAGGACAATCCCAAATTGAGACTGAAAAAAAAATCGGACACCTAGTATGTTACTCCATTCCAAGGACAGAATTCCAAATTATCCTAATTTAATTTTCTATAGTTTATAATATCTAAAAATGACAAAATTGCATGTGGACTGAAAAAACTCTGGAACCATCGACACCTAGTATGCTCAATTACGTGGAATACTCCTCCACCCCAAATTTTAAGTGGCTCCAAGGAATTGCAAATTCCAGCCTGCCAATCTTGCAAATCAATCTTCATAAGCAAGAAATGACTCAAGCTTTCCAAGGGCAAATTAGTATTTTTCATTTGAATCCTATATGTGCTTTTATTGTTGGACGGAGGGAGTATAGGTCATTCCAAAAATCTTAGTACAACTCAAAATTATTGTGATTTTTTTCTATAGGCCAAACGATTACAAAATTATATCTCTCCAATGAACGAAAACAAAAAAAATATAGATTTTACAACTCAAAATTACTGTGAATTTGTGATCTAGATATATCTATTATCTACAAGATGCAACAAGTGATTCATGATCTGCCGCAAAAACAGAGTGGAAGCAGAACATGGCTCGATGACTTTGCTGAGAGGCAAGACGGAGCGCAAGTCGTGTTGATTGTTTTTAAATTTTACATAAAATTTCAAAAACCCAACTTTCATATATACTAGTAATACGAGGAAACTGAAACTAAGGAACTGGGATTGTTCGAGGAAGAACAAGGAAGAGGGACTTACCAAAGACGGTGTTGGTGGGGTTCATGGCGACCTGGTTCTTGGCGGCGTCGCCGATGAGCCTCTCGGTGTCGGTGAACGCCACGTACGACGGCGTGGTGCGGTTGCCCTGGTCGTTGGCGATGATCTCCACCCGGTCATGCTGCCAGACCCCGACGCAGGAGTAGGTGGTGCCGAGGTCGATGCCGATCGCCGGGCCCTCTCCCTTGTTGCCGCCCTGGCTCGCCATCTCTCCCCTCTTCTTCCCCGATCAGATCAAGGTAGCTAGAAATCGAGCTGATGCGCGTCCGCACGCCCTGTGAGCGCGATTCGAAATGGAGGGCTGCTCTCTCTGTGCTTTCCTGGTTCGCTTTGGGACGGGTTGATTGATGCTTCGCTTCTGTTACCTGAGTTGATCGGAGTGCGGCGGATAGGGGCGGCCGCTTAAATACAGGCGTAGGGCGGGGAGCGGTGGCTGTTCGGGAAGGTTCTCGCCGTGGGGTGATGTGGCGGCGCGAGCGCGGCCCGGCGCGCGGGCGACGTCGGTTCGGTGCCGGGATTGTAGGCGTGATCGTCAGCGTGAGCGCGAGCGCGAGCTGGTGGAGGGTTCGGGCGCGCGCGGGACCTCTCCAGAACGGCGCATGGTTCGCTCGGTCGGTCGCAGGTTTCGTGCGGCTTCTATTCTATCGTTTCGTTGCGCCGGGTTGGTGGGGATGGGTTGCGTTGGGTTCGTGCTGCCAACTTGGCGGGGCCTGTGGGTGCGGGCTGCGGTGGCAGAGGAATGAGCCGATCGGGTGGGGGGCGGATTTTTCGTGGGAGGGGCTCGGGTGACTTCTGGCGCCAAGCGGAAAACGCTCGAAGTGTGGTGTTTTATTCTCTCGTGAATGGGGTTATATCACTTTTTTTTTATTTGCTCTTTATTTAGAACGATTGCGTTCAATAATACTACGCACTTTGTCCAGCTGGTCTGTTTGGAAACGTCGAGAAGGAATGTCTGCACATCTTTTCCTTGTGTGTGGAACATAAATAAATACTGTAAACAAGCTTACTTGGTTACTTCAGTTGTACAAATGGCTAGGTTACCGCACATTTCTACCTAGCAGACTCAAGTAATAATCAATAGTATTATTGGTGTAGAGCCGTAAAAGATGGGCAAACACCAGAAAAAACAGATCACGTGGATCGCAAGATAGTACTGTACCACACCGTGTTGTTTGTGAAAATCAATCAAACCGGTCCGGAAACATGTTTAGGCCTCGTTTGGTTCACCGGGAATCATTTTCTGAAAAGATTCCCAGCTGCAATAGTTAGCTAATTTGTATGAGCGTGATCAAGCCGGAATGGTTTCAGGCTAACCGAACGAGCCCTTAGTCAGGTCTCGAGTCAAACATGTAAATGAGAAGGATTTTTGTGTTGGTGGATGCCCAGGTTTATGAGAAGGTCATCAAACAGTAAATATCGCTTACTATGTGATGACAAATAACTACTCACTCCACTCGCTTATCGATCTAGAAAAGACAGAACAATTTATAATTTAAAATTGAGAGAGTAGTTTCCAAGCAAATCGGTAAAGACCATCGAAACTCTCTTGTAAAAAGGACCCCGCTAGGCCATGAACATCCTCGGGTTACATGTCATCCAACGTGTCTAGGGTGCCATTTCTGGTCGTAAGATCAAGATATTAGTAACAAAAATAGAATTTGGGAAAAACAAGATAAAAGAGAAAATATAATGAAGAAGCAAATGAAGATTAATTTGGTTTGACGTGATATTAATGGGCTATGGCCCTTTACATTTGTATATGGAGTGGAAGCCCTAAAATCACAGTATGGTTATAGTACCGCTCTTGATGATGATTTTTTTTGTGACTTGATTTTTTTTTTTGAGGGGATGCTCTTGATGATGATGACATACTGCAAGCGATCCAGTGGTTATAGTGCTCCTCGGCGACCCTGATACTCTTTTCTTTTTTATTTGACAACGACAAATATTATGCAATCACTATTCGTCTTTATTGGCCCGGCCTCGATCAGCAGCTTCTTTCCATCCAGATCAAATAGGGTCTCCGGGCCTAGCCTGGGAAATATTCAGGCCCGTTTACAGAAAAATAGAAATCAATCAGCCCAACTCGGTCCATGATCTGATCATTTTATTGTTTCAAAATACTTATGTCTCATGTTCTCCGAAATCATTTTTTACATTTTGTCTCCTAAGAATGCTAATATGAATGTTCTAGAAACACTATTTAGCATTTGGTCACTTGTCCAAAGTACTAATTCACGTTTTCGAAATTCACTTTCACATGTTGCCCCTAATGCGTGTCTATATGATATTCTATAAATAGTGTTTGGCATTTTTATCACTTTATTTATTCAATATATATTCTTGGGACTCCCAGTTTTCGAAACGCACTTCACATTTTCCTCCAAAAATTTGCTTAATTTTTTGCCTCTAAAAAGTGTTAAATAAATGTTCTAGAAATATTAAAGATATTTTATAAGGGTATTTTGGTAATCTCATCCTAAAAGATTATAAGAAAAGTTGAGGTTAGTACTATTCAAATTTATGTAGACCTATATCCTATAGTCCTAACTCCTAATCCTGACTATTCAGGTGTCGGAAACAACTGTACTTGTGTGTCGAGTCGGTACGGCAAAATTCAAGAGATGACACACACGAAGAGAGATTCAGAGATTGATACTTGCACTACTACAGGATTGATTAACCGCGACGGGTCCCGGAGGCCTCCGTGGCGGGCTCAATTTTTTTCCCGCCGCGGTAAATCCCATGATTTACCGTGGCGGACATTTTTTATTTATCGCGGCGGACACTTTTGCCCGCCGCGGTAAATCGATTTACCGTGGCGGGAGTCTTAGGATGCCCGCCACGGAAAATACCTATTTCCGTGGCGGGCATCCTAAGACGCCCGACACGTTAAATCGATTTACCGCGGAGGGAGGCATGATAAGGCCCGCCACCAGAATTTGGCCCAGCTCAAGCCTAGGTGAAAGCCCATATATGTTTTCCCTACGGCTGCTAGTATATAAATGAACTTAGGTCATCTCCTCCGACTCCCACTCCTCTCCTCCACTCACCCCACCTCTCGCCCGGCTGGGCGCCTCTCCCTCACTCTCCACTCTCTCCAGACGGCGGCGGGCCTCCACCTCTCCCTCCACCGATGGCGCCTCCCCGCTCCCTCCCTCCCTCACCAGACGGCGGCTCGGCCGTGGGCCTCACATCCTCCCCAGGCCACCGATGGCGCCTCCCCCCCCTCCCTCCCATCTCCCCTCTTCCACTCCCTCACTCCCACAGATATGCATGCAGTCCGGTCCAGAGCCCGCCCTTTCCCTTGGGCGCCAGATCCTGGTGCAAGGATATCCAGCCACCACGCAGTGGTGGTCGGTGAAAGGTCCTAATATGGCTAGAGGGGGGGTGAATAGCCTATTTAAAAATCTATAAATCAACTAGAGCAATTTGATTAGTATGACAAATAGCGTAATGCAAACTTGCTCTAGCTCTACAAGGGTTGCAAGCCACCTATCCAACAATTCTAGTTGCAATGAATACTTAGGCACACAAACTAGCTATATACTTACTCACTAAGAGCTCTCAACCTTGCTACTCTAAAGAGCTCAACTAGATGAATGTAAATAATAAAGCAAGCTCTCAATTCTAATTACACTAAAGAGCTTGTATCAACTAGTTCGCAAGAATGTAAATGAGTGAGTAGAGTGATTATCACTCTGTAGGGGATGAACCAATCACAATATGAATATATAGCCAATCACCGGGAGAATGACAAAGAAGAGAGACAATCGATTTTCTCCTGAGGTTCACGTGCTTGTCAACACGCTACGTCCCCGTTGTGTCGACCAACACTTGGTGATTCGGCGGCTAAGAGGTGTTTCACAAACCTCGTCCACACGATTGGACACCGCAATAACCGACCCACAAGTGAGGTAACTCAATGACACGAGCAATTTACTAGAGTTACCTTTTGGCACACCATGGGAGAAGGTACAACTCTCCTCACAATCACCGAAGGCGGCCACGAACAATCACCAACTCGTTTGATCCTTCACCGCTGCTCTCCAACCGTCTAGGTGGTGGCAACCACCAAGAGAAACAAGTGAAATCCAGCGGAGTAACCACGAAACCAAGTGCCATTAGATGCAATCACTCAAGCAATGCACTGGATTCTCTCCAATCTCACAATGATGATGGATCAATGATGGAGATGAGTGGGAGGACTTTGGCTAAGTTCACAAGGTTGCTATGTCAATGAAAATGTGCAAGAGAGAACCCTTGAGCCGGCCATGGGGCTATAAATAGAGCCCCATCAAATGAAGCCGTTGTACCTCTTCCTTTGGGCAAAACACGCTCGATCGGACGCTCGGTCATCTTCGCCGGATCTTTGGCCCTCGGCGTCCGGTCGCGATGGGCGCCGCGTCCACCGAGCTCCGATTTCAGCAGCTCTGAATTGGACGGACGCTCGGTCAAAAAGCGGCCGGACGACTGAAGCCCCGCGTCCGATCGTTTCGATAAGCTCCCGAGGCATGTTTTTCGGCGAGACGCGTCAGTCCACCTTGACCGGGGCCGAGAACCGGCGTCCGGTGCTCAACCTACCATGCTGTGTTGCCGTCGATACTCGGCCGGACGCATGACCTTTTCGGCGTCCGGTTTTGAGTGACCAGCGTCCGGTCGATGAACCGTTTGACATCATTCGACCAACTCCATTTCAATTTAACTTCTTCACCCTTGCTCAAATTGCCAACCAACATCCATTTCAATTCTAACTTCTGGGCGCAATAGAAAATAGACATTTCAAGCAAAAGCGATTGAATCCGACAAGCTCGGCGGGAGGAGGAGGAAACCCATCAAACCCATCTCAACCTGCAAACACCTTGTGCACATGTGTTAGCATGTTTTCACAAATATTTTTCAAGGTGTTAGCACTCCACTAGATCCTAAATGCATATGCAATGAGTTAGAGCATCTAGTGGCACTTTGATAACCGCATTTCGATCGAGTTACACTCCTCTTAATAAATCGGCTATCTATCCTAAATGTGATCACACCACTAAGTGTCTTGATCACTAAAACAAAATGACTCCTACATTTTATACCTTTGCCTTGAGCCTTTTGTTTTCTCTTTCTTCTTTTCCAAGTTCAAGCATTTGATCATCACCATGCTATCACCATTGTCATGATCTTCGTCATTGCTTCATCACTTAGAGTAGTGCTACCTAT